GCCAGGCCCGGGTGATGGCCGTGGTAGGAGAGGCCTGGGTGATGGCTGTGGTAGGCCAGGCCCAGGTGATGGCCGTGGTAGGCCAGGCCCAGGTGATGGCCGTGGTAGGAGAGGCCCAGGTGATGGCCGTGGTAGGCCAGGCCTGGGTGATGGCCGTGGTAGGAGAGGCCTGGGTGATGGCTGTGGTAGGCCAGGCCTGGGTCATAGCCGTGGTAGGCATTGATAGGGGCTAAGACCCAGCCCTGTCCTCCTGGAGTCCTGGACAAGTCCCTGTGTCCTGAAGGCTAAACCTGTGCTGGCTTTGGGGTGTAGCTCCTAGGGCTCCCAGGGGACCTAGGCACTCCTTGGGCACCAGAAGGCTGCCCAGAGGAGGTGGCCCCTGCCTGTGTCGTGCATGGGCAGCAGGACTAGGCTGGTCTGTGGTCCCTTTCTCAGTGAAGGCAGTGGATAGGTTACCACCTGTGCTTCATGTCCTGTGTGTGACCGGGGCCATCTCCTGACACATGGGAACCTGTGTGGGTCAGGCTAGAAAGGGTATCCTTGTCAGGGAGCAGAGATGACCAGGCCTCGTGGAGAATGCTGGGCCCTGGGCCCTGCGGGCAGTGCCCTGAGCTGGCAGTGGGGGTATGCTCCTCTGCACCAGGTGTAGGAGGGTGGGCACTTGGGACTAGAGGTCAGCAGGCCTGGGGGTCAGGAACACGGAGATGAGACTTGGGGGGTTCCAGTCATGGCGCAGAATGACAGTGATGACTCACGGGCTTCGGCCTGTCCCAAGCTGGGGCCGGCAAGCCTCCTGCAGACAGCATCCAGGGCCTTGGGAGCCTTGGCCTTGTGCCCTTGCGGTGGTTACTTTAACCTCCTGCTTATATTCCAAGTTCCCAGTGTTACCTCCCCAGGAAACCTCTTGGTGCCCCAGCACCCACGCACACAGGATGTGGTGCCCATGCTGTCCCAAGGGCGGTTCTCTGAGCTCCTGGTGCTCAGGCTGGCCCTGGGCCAGGGCTCCATCAGTGTAGTGGGAGAGCGACAGGGCCAGGTGGATGACAACCACCCAGCCAGGACCTGGAGGACCATTTGCCTCTGTTCCTGCCCCAGGTCTCCTCCTCACTGTGTCCCTCACAGGGACCAGAGTCAGTGTCACAGAGGCTGGTGGCATGCCCTGAGCAGGATGGCCCTGGGTATCCTGTATGAAGACTCCTTTGCTGACCCCATGTCTCTGGGCAGGGCCCTTAGTGGTCCTGGAACAAGAGCCCAGCCACACACAGGGCCCTGCCTGGCCTTCACACCTTCCCGTGCCGCAAGGATGGATGCTAGAGGCCAGGACCACCAGGGTGAACAAGTGAGGGGTGAACACCTGAGGGACAGCCGTGGCGTGGCATCCGGGGGCTGCACAAAGCCCTGTGCTCTGGTAAGAACATGTGACCTGCAGTTGGAGCCCTGAAGAATTCAGCATAGCTGTGAGGCTGCAGCAACTGGGCAGAAGTCACTGGCTTGGTGCCGGCTGTGTCTGGGGAGTTTAGCACAGGACATGTTGCTGGGACAGCCACTGGGGCTCCCTGTGTGGCATGGGGCACCCCCATGGAACCCACCTTCTTTTCTGCAGAATCCATGCTGCAGCCAGGGTGCTGAGCTTGGCTGTTCGGTAGCCAGGCCAAGGGTGGGCTGCGCCTTGGATGCATTCGGATTTGGAGGACAGGTGGAAGCTGTGAGGGCTCTTGGCTGCCCCTCCAGTGCCAGGCCAGAAGCTGGGGGACATAGATGGGCAGGGCAGACCAGCCTGTGAACCAGCTGGTGCAAGAACTGGCTTCCTAAATCAAAGAGACTAGTAACAGTTACGTTTTTTAAAAATTCTATTGTAATCCTCGTTGTCAGGAAATTGATGGAGTCACCTTATGCTTTGGACACTGGGGTGACTTGGGACAGGAGAGCATAGCACAGGACATGTGGTGCTCAGACCGTTGGCCTGGAAACTCACCTGACCTCTGCTGGAAGAATAGCTTCCCCAAGAAAAGACAGGATGCAGGCGAGATAGTGTGCACCTGTGAGACAGAACCCAGAGGCAGTGTGTGACCACGCACTGGTGGGCACGTGAGCGGGCTCACGCAGACACCCACAGAACCACAAACACGGTTCATGCTGCGTGGGGTCCGTCTAGGCAGTGACCCAGGTTCCAGCAGCTCTCGCAGACCGAGCAGCTTGCCTTCAGAGGACGGCACTGTGATGACGTCCACGCGAGCTGGGACCTCAACATCCGCTGTCTCCGTGACGCACTCAGGAGCTCTGTGTTGGCCAGTTCTGTTCTGTGGGTCACAGGCTTCCAGACTACAGCCCCATCAAGAGCTGGCCTGAACCGAGGAGGGGACAGAGTTGAGATGCAGATCCACTTCAGAGCTGCTGGAGGTCAGTCGACCAGGGCGGATGGCAGTGCAGACTCGGAAGGAAGCGCCCACCCTGTCAGCACCTGTCCCAGTGCTCCTGGCCAGAGTTGTTTTGGTTTGGTTGTTGAGACAGAGTCTTGGTCGAGCTTGGCCTTGAACTCACTCTGTAGCCCAGTCCGGCCTCAAACTTACAGCAGTCCTCCTTCCTCAGCACCCTGAGTGCCGGGATTGCACCTAGCCTGGGTTTTGCTGGGAGGATCAGCCCCAGCTGAAGCCTTCTTCTGCCATGTCTCTCTCCGCTCCTCTGGGAGCAATAGCCCCCTGTGACAGTTCTGCTTGTTTCTTCCAGGGTCTGTGAAAGGTGACATGGATGTCCCCTTTGAGGAGGTCCTGGAGAAGGCCAAGGCCGGAGACCCCAAGGCCCAGACCGAGGTGAGGACCATGGTGACTGGAGGGGAGGCCTGGGACATAGCCCACACACAGCAGGCCTGGCTGAGGGAAGGGCCCATGCTTAGGGACAGGCGGTGTGCCACCCCTTAGTGCTGGTCTGGTCTCCGTGTCCTCTGTGTCATTAGCTGTATATGAGGGCCCTCAGGTGTGGCAGGGCTGCCCCGTCCTTGTGTGCCCAGTCAGGCACGGCTCAGGATGTCCCCGGAGGTGGGACAGTGTCCTGCATTGAGGATGACATTAAGGCTGCAGAACCCTGGTGATCTGCCCCATTGGCATGGCCACCACCAGGGCCTGAGTCACCTTGTTCCAGGCACTGCATGCCCCCCGCATTCCTGTGGCCCATGCTGATTCTACCCTTGTGCTCTGGAGCAGTGTGCAGGTGCCAGGTCTGGCCCTCTGTTACATGGGGGGACCCTGAAAGCCCAGAGGAACGAGGAAGGGAGCCCTGGGCAGCGCTTTGTGCCCCACACCTCTGCCTGCCCAAGGGCTTCCTTCCCGTACCTGGGACCCCTAGACCTGGCTGCCTCTTCCCTCACCCCAGCTGCACTCATCATTCCAGAGTGGCTCTGTGGACATGTCCCAAGCAGTGACCTGTCCCTCCATGCCTGATTGGAGTAGATGACAGTGGCCATCCAGGGGACACAGGCTCCACACTTCTCCCCAAGGACAAAGACCGCCTCCATGGAAGCTGTTGTCCTGATCTCACAGCCATGTTGGGCTGTGAGGTCCTGCAGCTGCTGCCCACTGTGCCAGGGCTGGGCGGTACACATGACCCTGTGCATCCTGTGTGTCCTGGGCCTCACTCTGCCCATCCAGAGGATGAGGATGAGTGGATGGGGCTAGGCCAGTCAGTGAATACTCTGAGGTTTGGCCCAGCTTACCATAGAACACAAAACAAGCAGCACACACAAGAGTAGCCTTGGTTATGTTCCAGTAAAACTTTATAAAAAATAAAAAGAGGGCTGGGGAGATGGCTCAGTGGAATAAGTGCTTCCCTGGCAAGCACAAGGGCCTAAGTTCGATCCCCGGTTCCACCAAAAAATAAAAAGCAGCATTTAGACTGTGGGCCAGTACTGCCTGTGGCTGGCTGGTCCCTCTCCAGCCCCGATGCCCTGTGCCCCTGGCTGCTTGGAGAGGTGGTCACATCTGCATGGTGGCCCCTGGGCTTCATGAGGCAGGACCAGCTCAAGGAGGAGCTCCATAACTCAACCCATAGCCCCCGTGTCCAGGGGACCCCAGTGGAGCTGTTTCCACCACCTTCTTCCTGGTGTGGGTGAAGGACAGAGCAGGGTGAGGAGCGGGCCTCCCCCAAGTGATGTGTGGGATGCGGTCCAGCAGCCACTGACAGTCCTGCCCTGCAGATGGGGAAGCACTACCTGCGGCTGGCAGATACTGCCGACGAGGAGCTCAACAGCTGCACGGCTGTGGACTGGCTGCTGCTGGCGGCCAAGCAGGGCCGGCGCGAGGCCGTGAAGCTGCTGCGACGGTGCCTGGCTGACAGGAGAGGTGAGTGTGACTGCGCGGCACCTGCCCCCTGCTTTGCTACGTGAGCAGCCGGAAGCCCGGCGCTGCTGGGAAGTGGGCAGTGGCCTCGCCACTGGAGACCTTGTTTCTGGCAAGTGTGATGGGGCTGGCGTCTGCCGGCGCTGACCAGTGGGCCCCTCTCCCTGCCAGGCTCTGTCTGCAGCAGGGGTTGGTCCCAGCCAGTTCTGCGCTGAGGCCAGGGCACCCAGGCCTCAGGTCAGCTGTCACCTGTCCTGCCCAAGGAAAACACGGTCCCTCGGGCCCTAGAGCCCTGAGCTTCCTGGAGTTCCCAACCTCTGAGAGAGATAAAAGCGCGTCGTGGATGTTTTGTTTTTAAAAAAATGATGCATATTTTAGATTGTAAAAGCTTTTTATATTTATCGTATAAAGCATAGAAAATACAATAATGAAGTGCAGTGTGGAAACTGGATCCAGAGCCTTGTCCTTAGCTACATCCACAGCCCCCTTTAAAGTTTGTTTTAGGGGCCGGGGAGATGGCTCAGTGGAATAAGCGCTTCCCTGGCAAGTGCAAGGACCTGAGTTCAATCCCTGGTTCCACAAAAAAAAAAAACAATAATAATAATAAAATAAATAAATAAAGTTTGTTTTATTTTGAGACAGTCTTTCTGAGTTGCCAAGAGTGGACTTGGACTTACGACCCTGCTGCCTCAGCACTCCCAGCTGGCTGGGGTGTCCTTTTGTGTCACGTGCCCGCACCATTCATCAGGTGCAGCAACCTGACCAAGCTCTCCCGGGTGGCCCAGGCAGCGGGGCCCAGCTCACGGCCACCTCTGCCCCATAGGCATCACCTCCGAAAACGAGCCGCAGGTGAGGCAGCTCTCCTCCGAGACCGACCTGGAACGCGCTGTGCGCAAGGCTGCCCTAGTCATGTACTGGAAGCTCAACCCCAAGAAGAAGAAGCAGGTGGCTGTGTCGGAGCTGCTGGAGAACGTCGGGCAGGTCAACGAGCATGGTGAGCAGCGTCCTGTGCTCGGGCTGTGGTGGGGACAGGGCCGGGCAGGCGGAGCCAGAGGAGCCTGCGCTAGGCCAGGCCAGGCTAAGCGCAGAGCTGGGGGTCCCGGTGCTGGGTGCCTCCTTCCTGGGTCTGACGGTGGTGCTGCTGTTCAGTGAGAGCCCTGCTGTGTCCCTGTGGGGAGAGCGGAGGAGGCGGCGGGGTGTGGGCCAGGGTGGCCTTGCAAGGCTCATGGGCTGCGTGCAGGTCTCGGGCCCTGGTGGCCCCTCGAGACCCTCAAGGTTGGGGACTGCCAGTCATCAGGAGACGGGCAGCCCTGAGTTCAGTCCTGTCTCTGTCCCATGCAGATGGAGGCGCGCAGCCGGGCCCTGTGCCCAAATTCCTGCAGAAGCAGCGGCGGATGCTGGAGCGCCTGGTCAGCAGCGAGTGTGAGTGCCCACAGTCCCTGCATGCCTGCCTCGCCACCGTGTGGGTCTCAGGCAGGGGCACCTGCACTTGGTGTAGGGCCTGTGGCTGTCCGTGTTTGGGGTACTAAGGCCTGGGCCCTGGCCACTAAGAACAGTGTGGCCATCCCTGCTGGACAGAGAGGCCTAGGGGGAGGCCACATCTGCCGCACTTGGGTGCAGAGTTCATGCTACCAACAGTGAGAGCAGGTGCTCTGGGCAGTGAGACCCGCACGGACAGAGGCCCAAGCAGAGAGCGCAGGATGAGATGCCCCCAGTGGGTGGACGCTTGGGGAGGGCTAGAGGGCTGGGGCGGGAGCTGAGCAGGGGCTCCTCAGGGGCACATGGGGCTAGGGAGCTGGAAGGTGTATTCCTGCCCTCCCGGGCAGTGCTCTTCCGTGGCTACCACATCTGCAGTACAGGGCCCAGGCTACGTTCCAGAGGTGACAGCACCCAAGGAGCAGGAGGACTATACCCAGTATGAGGAAGGGTGGGCTGGGAAAGGCGCTCACAGCTGAGGCTCCCTGGGGGTTCTTCATGAACCTTACAGCAGTGCAGGGGCTGCTGATGTGCACATGGCACCTTGCAACCACAGGCCCCGCCTCCACCTGCCCCTCGCTACATGGAGATCCCTGGGCACAGGTACACACTGGGGTCTGCTCACCATCCTGAGGGTGCCAGGCCCTGGAACAGTGCTTGGCACGGCTGGATGGAGGGGCCAGCAGGCACACAGCAGACCCTGAGCCGGTCCTTCTGGGTGGAGGGTTAGCAGGCGCACGGTGGGTCCTGAGGGATCTGGATGGATGGAGAACCAGCAAGTGCACAGTAGGGCCTCGCTGGGTACCGTGGGAGGGAGAGGTAGCAGGTGCACAGTAGGGCCTCACTGGACCCCACTGGAAGTCTCTGGGTGGTGGCTGGAGGCCAGAGGATTGGCTCACAGGTGCAGCCTGGGGCCGTGGCAGCTGGCAGAGCAGGGCAGAGGCTGACATGCGCAGAGCTGCCCCTTGCCACTATCCCCCTGCCCATCCATGTCCTGTCCCGTCTGGCCTGTGCTCTGGTCGACCCCAGCCATCTTCTCTGGTCTCCAGCCAAGAACTATATCGCGCTGGACGACTTCGTGGAGATCACCAAGAAGTACGCCAAGGGCATCATCCCTGCCAACCTCTGCCTGCAGGATGACGATGACGAGCTGGCCGGGAAGGGCCCCGAGGACCTGCCTCTGCGCCAGAGGGTGAGTGCCGGCCTGTCCCCGCCCCTTGTGCTGACAGGGACACTGTCGTGGGAAGGTCCGTGCTGTCACAGACCCCGGAGTAGTGCCCTCGGCCCTTGGGTGGCCCATGTGAGGATGTGTCTGCAGGAGGCTGCCTCTCACAGTCAGATCGGAAACCCTGGGGCAGGCGAGTGTGCTTGGGGGACGCCCACTGCCGTCCGCCAGCATCTTTCTGCACAGAGCACCGTGAGGACAGCAGGCTAGACTCAGAGTGAGGCTCCCTGGTTTTCACTGTGTAGAGAAACTGTCTGCATAGGCCAGGAGCCAGCTCCTGGAGGTCGCTACCACAAGCGAAGTGCTGGTGGCCGGCACCGGGCAGACGAAGCAGCCAGCAGGGCCCGGTGTGCAGGTACATGGCATAGCCTTGGGGCAGCTCATTGAACCCTTGTGTGAGACCTGGCCTCACAGACCTGAATTGGGGGTGTCCGTCTCTGGTCCTTGGGGCCACCAGGGTCCCCAAAAGCTGGGCCTCCTCACCCAGACAAGGCTACAGGCAGCACAGGGGCTGTTTGGGTTGCCCGATTCCCTGCCCAACCTGCAGAAGGAAACTGGGTTACTGGCAAATACCAGATGGTCAGAGGTGAAGGGTCGCTGGGCCAGGAGGCTCCTGGGCCAGGTGTCCCAGTGTGAGCTTTTGTGGTGTCCTTCCCAGGGTGTGGTCTGGGCAGTGTGTGTCACCCCAGATGGGAGCAGAGCCACTGCTGTGAGTTGGGAGGCCTTTTTAGGGAAAGAAGACCAGGTTTTCTGCCAAGAAGTCAACAGGGCTCCGTACTTCCTCGGGAGCCATCCAGGCCCTGACCCCTCAGGGTTTCACTGAAAGTCTGCAAACCAGAGGCAGGGGACATCTGTGTCCCCAACACAGGTGGACACTGCTCCGGCCTCTGCTGGCTTCTTGGGACAGATGGGAGACCCAGTGCAGGGTCCATCTTCATTGACGGAACATAACAGGCACTGTCAATGAGCTGACATTGTCCCCCCCGAGGAGTGCCCCAGACACCCAGCAGCCTGGACACACGTCCCAGAATAGACAAGGCCCTCTTCAGAGGGGACTGAGTGACTCAGGATGACCCTCACATGGTTCACATCATGTCACTAGAAAACCCAGTGTGGAGACGTTGTCCCACAGGCCTGAGCAGGATGCTCTTGGCTCCCGTGTCCCTCAGGGCTCTTGAGTAGGCTCTGGTTCCTCCTCTTCCTGGTGAGCGGCACAGTGCTCTGTGCTGCTCCTTGGCCACTGAGGGGCTAGCTGGTCCCTCACACCTGCCCAGAGCGGGCTTCACCCTGCCTTCCTTACACCCTGAGTATTCCGTCTCTCTGTTTTGTTTCTCTGCACGGAGCTCACACCAGTGCTGCAGTACCCTAAGCGAGCAGTCCCAGGCCGCTGCCCTGCGCTCACGCCATGCTGCGTGACTGCCCCGGCCCTCGCTCTGTGCCCTAGCAGAACGGGTATCTCCTGGGGACCTGCAGATTGCAGGATGGGGGCTCCCCACGGCCCCTGACCTGCCACCATAGCCCTTCAGTGCCCTTTGCCTGTGACAAAGGCTGGGCCACTGGGGGCCCTTGGGGAGAGGGGCCCCAGGTAGGATGAGCTGTGAGGGGCAGCATCTTCTGTGAACAGTGTGGGGTGCTGCATGCTTTATGTGGCGATGGACGGGGTGAGCGGCAGGCTCTTGGGGTCTCACATGGCCCCTGAACCGAAGCCACCCTTTGTTAGGAGACAGGTCCTGCAGCTACTAGGAGCTGTCAGAACCACTCCAGGCCTCGGGTCTGCTCCCACCACACCACAGCGCCTGCTGTGGCCTTGTACAGGAGCAGTCACTGTCCCCTGGAAATGGGTGGCATTCTTGATGCAGTGGGGAGAGTGCTGTAGTCTGGCTTCCAAACAAGCAGCCCAGGGCTCTATCCTTGCAAGTGAAGGCCCAGGGAAGAGGGCGAGGAGGGACGGTGGCTTCCTCCAGGTGTTCAGGTTCCGAGGGGGAGACAGGCCAGCTGAGCCCCGTCGCCCTGGCAGGCAGCGGCTGGGCAGGGCCTGTGGGTGGGGGTGGAGGGCAAGTTCTGTGCAGACCTCACACCGAGCGATTAAAGTGTGGTCCGTGTTTACATTTTTTGAATATTTACACGTCACATAAAAGACACATTGCTGTGAGCCCATTTCAAAGGCCTCACCCCCGCTTCCCACACACTCACCCTCATCTCGCCCCTTACAGGAGTGGGCCTGGAAGTCTTTTCCATGTCTCACAGTGTGATCATAAATACACTGAATGTTGCTCCCCATTGCCACACCCCAGAAGGCACCTTGTAAAAGCATGACCACGTTGCTCGCCCACGTTATTCGTTGGCTGTGGCACCACGTGACTTCTGGCTGTTCCCCAAAGCCAGGACTCTTTGAATCAATTCAGGACATCAGGGTAACGACCACATTGCCCCTAAAGACACTTACGCAAGAGGACCCCAGAACTTCTTCCAAAAGGGACAAGAGCGAGGGATGAGTGTGTCCAGAGCAAGGAGGGTGTTGTGCAGAGGCGTTATCGGCGTGTGTCTTTTCCTGCTGCAGTCTATTATTTAAAAGTCACCCGATTTCGCACTCACGCCTCACGGAGCTTCCAGCCAGCGGAGGCCTGGCCAGGTGGATGAGGGCAGAGGGTGGAGGGACCTCCGGGGCTCAGGACTGGCAGCGGGTCGCTCACTCTGCACAGGGCCAGCATGGCTGGCGGTGTCGAGGGGTGAGAGGAGGCCCCGGGCCCGCGGGCTCCAACATCCGTCTCCCTGCAGGTGGTGAAGTACCCCCTGCACGCCATCATGGAGATCAAGGAGTACCTGATCGACGTGGCGTCCAAGGCGGGCATGCACTGGCTATCCACCATCGTGCCCACCCACCACATCAACGCCCTCGTCTTCTTCTTCATCATCAGCAACCTCACCATCGACTTCTTCACCTTCTGCATCCCACTGGTCGTCTTCTACCTGTCATTCGTGTCCATGGTCATCTGCACCCTCAAGGTCTTCCAGGACAGCAAGGCCTGGGAGAACTTCCGCACCCTCACCGACCTGCTGCTGCGCTTTGAGCCCGACCTGGACGTGGACCAGGCTGAGGTAAACTTCGGCTGGAACCACCTGGAGCCCTACGTGCACTTCCTGCTCTCCGTTGTCTTTGTCATCTTCTCCTTCCCGCTGGCCAGCAAGGACTGCATCCCCTGCTCGGAGCTGGCCATCATCGCCGCCTTCTTCACCATCACCAGCTACATGAGCCTCAGCAGCTCCGCCGAGCCCTACACCAGGAGGGCCCTGGTCACTGAGGTGGCCGCCGGGCTGCTGTCCCTGCTGCCCACCCTGCCACTGGACGGGCAGTACCTGAAGGCGCTCGGACAGACCTTCTTCACCGTGCCTGTGGGCCACTTTGTGGTCCTGAACGCCAGCCTGCCCTGCGTGCTCTACGTCTACCTCCTCTACTTGTTCTTCCGCATGGCCCAGCTGCGGAACTTCAAGGGCACCTACTGCTACCTGGTGCCCTACCTGGTCTGCTTCATGTGGTGTGAGCTCACCGTGGTCATCCTACTTGAGTCCACCGGCCTGGGCCTGGTCCGTGCCTCCATCGGCTACTTCCTCTTCCTCTTTGCTCTGCCCATCCTGGTGGCAGGCCTGGCGCTCATGGGCGTGGTGCAGTTCGCCCGCTGGTTTGTGGCCCTGGACCTCACCAAGATGCTGGTCACCATGGCGATCTGCAGCGTGCCCCTGCTGCTGCGCTGGTGGACCAAGGCCAGCTTCTCCGTGGTGGAGATGGTCAAGTCGCTGACGCGCAGCTCCATGGTGAAGCTCATCCTGGTGTGGCTCTCGGCCATCGTGCTCTTCTGCTGGTTCTACGTGTACCGCTCAGAGGGCATGAAAGTCTACAACTCCACGCTGACCTGGCAGCAGTATGGCCACCTGTGCGGGCCACGGGCCTGGAAAGAGACCAACATGGCGCGCACCCAGATCCTGTGCAGCCACCTGGAGGGCCACCGGGTCACCTGGACAGGCCGCTTCAAGTATGTGCGGGTGACAGAGATCGACAACAGCGCCGAGTCGGCCATCAACATGCTCCCCTTCTTCATCGGCGACTGGCTGCGCTGCCTCTACGGTGAGGCCTACCCAGCCTGCAACCCCGGCAACACGTCCACGGCCGAGGAGGAGCTGTGCCGCCTCAAGCTGCTGGCCAAGCACCCGTGTCACATCAAGAGGTTCGACCGCTACAAGTTCGAGATCACGGTGGGCATGCCCTTCAGCAACGGCAGCCGCGCCCATGAGGAGGACGACATCACCAAGGACATTGTGCTGCGGGCCAGCAGTGAGTTCAAGGCCGTGCTGCTCAACCTGCGCCACGGCAGCGTCATCGAGTTCAGCACCATCCTCGAGGGCCGCCTGGGCAGCAAGTGGCCAGTCTTCGAGCTCAAGGCCATCAGCTGCCTCAACTGCATGGCTCAGCTGTCGCCAGCCCAGCGCCACGTGAAGGTCGAGCACGACTGGCGCAGCAGCGTGCACGGGGCCCTCAAATTCGCCTTCGACTTCTTCTTTTTCCCCTTTCTGTCCGCTGCATGAGCCCCGCCCCCACCACGGCCACCCGGCTGAGTGTGCTGTGTGCCCCCTTGTGCAGACCAGGGCCTGGGGAACTTTTGCTTGTGTGTAGGCTGCCCGGCCCCTACTGCAGGGGTGGCGGTCACTTTGCTCTGTCCCTTGGAATTCTGAGCACCCTGGAAGTTGCATGCAGTCTTCACCCACAACCACCACCTTCCTCAGGAACGCTGGGGTGCCAGGACAGACCAGCAAGACCCTGTCCCCACAAGCACTTTACAGATGGACTCTCCCTTCCCCTCCCCTACCTCACACACACTGTTGGCCTTTAATTACCTCTGCATAGGGTTTGTTTCCTGAAGAACCAGATGCATGTTTGTGTAGCCTCACCGTGGCGTTTCTTATTTATTTGGTTACTGCTGAGCCTGGCAGCTGTGGACCTGACTCAGGGCCTGCACAGCTGCGTGCACCCTGTCCTGGGATCCAGGCCTAACCAGGGGGACCCATGTGTTCCCGGGCCCCAGCTTGTCTCACGGCGGTCCCGCCCCTCAGGTGGCGGGTGAGGGCAGGAGGCTTCCTCGAGCCCCGCTGGACTCGGGAAATGGCTCTAGGCTTCCCTCCCAGGGCTCAGGAGAGCTCAGCCAGGGCGCCACAGAGTGGAGGGCCGGGTCCTGAAGCCACAGACATAAAGAGCTCTTACAGACTGCACCTGTCCTCGTTGGTTTGAAGGCGCCTTTCCTGTCCCCTGGTGGCCACATGCTTGGGTCATGTGAACGAAACACGTGCATTTGGGTTATAAGAGGGCAGAACCAGTGTTCACGTAGTTGCTGCCCACTGCCAAGGAGCAGACCCAGGCAGCGCCTCCCCGAGCACAAGGGGTCCTTGAGGCCTCTGCCGAGACCCTCGGATGGGACAGCTGGGCACCTGCCCTCAGCGCAACTGTGTATGTTTATGAAACAGTCTGACCTTGTCACACAGAGGGGTAAACCAGAGATTATCCAGGGCGCGGGTCCTGTGGGGGTTACCCTGGGGGTAGGGGCAGGTCCTGCACCACCCTCTGACCCTGTAGGTCAGATTGGGGGGCATAGAGTGTGTGCCTGCCTTGGTTGCCCCTGGGCATCATGCAGGTGTGGGTTCCTTCTGCCCAGCAGGGCTGCCCAAAACCCCTCAAGGTGAGGGTGTGCCCAGGAGTTTACCCCGCGTTTCCATCCTGGGCAGCAGGATGTCACCTTCCCCATCCTGTAGGTCCTGAGGCTGGGAGCGGCAGCGGCCAAGGGACTTTGCTGCCCAGGGGCACCACAGACTGGCAACTAGAACCCCTGCAGGCCCTGTGATGCTCTCAGTTCATAGAGGCAGTTGCAGCGCGTGTGAGCGGCAGACCCAGGCCCACACAGGGCTCTGCAGAGCCCCCACCCTGCTTCCCAGAAGGCACAGGGGCCTGCAGGGCCCCCACCAGCTGCAGGAGGGGTGAGGAGGACTGCCCAGGAGCCCCGAGTGGGCGCAGGTCCCATGCGCTATTATTGGTCAGTCCACCACACAGAACCCTCGCTTGGCACCTGTTCCCGGGCCTCTGTGTGCTGGGGCCCCCTGTGGAAGAAACTAAATGCTGCACAGAACTGCAAAGTGCAGTTAGTACGTGTGTCCACGTTCCTTTCAAAAGCAACATACGTGGCAGGGGGGGTGAAGTCCCGTCCTGATCCCAGGCTGGCAGCTGAGCCTCTCAACTGTGTGACCTCAGGCAAATCCCAGCTTTCCCCAGCCCCAGTGTCCTCATCTATAAAAAAGGGATTTGTCTCATTGACTGTTTTGGATGGGAACAGGAGTTAATTTTCTTTTTTTTTT